CTGAGCATGGCTGGCTCGGGTTCGACACGGTTACACCCCTAACTGAAGGGGTTTATTATGAATAGAATTTTAATAACACAACAAAGAAAAATAAAAAAAAATGATTTATAAAATTAACATGTATCAAATAATTGCCAAGAGATTCCTAATGATGACCTCCATAAACCTACATTCTATGAGTTATTGTACTAAACCATTACACTTGGAGTGATGATCATTTCTATATAAATACAATTATGAAGATATATTAGTTATTTTATAGTTATTATATATTTAAGTGATAATTCTTTCATCAAATTAACTTTTATAATTTTGACCACACTTCCATTTGACTTTATGACATTCATATCTAAAAGTTGGTATGTTTAACTATTTGATCAAAGATATTGCTAATCATCATTATCTCTGGATCATCACCATTAAATCACTATTGGTCGCTCGATTCAGTCTCGTTCTCAGTGGGCCAGTCAAATCAACCTAGAGAAGTTAATATTATTCTGTCATATTTTGAAACAGGGGCATGAATCCACCATTTATTATTGATAATTATGATGAATGTTTAAGCACACATTGAATAAGGATTAGAATACCTCTCAAAATATTTGAATTTCTTAATAAAAGTTCATTTTAGGCGATCTAAAACAATATCCTTGAGATCCTAAAGAATTTTGGTGTATATAGAACCATTTAGAACTTTAGGCAAGAAGTTTCTAAAGGCCATTATGATCATCACATGACCCACAATGCAAAACTCATTTGCATTGTTGTTATCATCACATTCAATTCCCTTGGCTTATGTTGAAATAAGCTCCTTCGAGGTCTACACTACCATCACCCCTCTGGCATCAAGGCCATCTCTACATCTCAATTAGCTATAGAACAATAATTCCACTATAATGATTTCCCTCAAGGGCATATGCTAAGCTATTTGTTGTCGCTTACACCAGAGCCTTTGTTGTCTTTGGAACTAATGCAAAGATCTTATTTGCGCTATAATTAACTCTCATGACTCACACTATATATAAAATCAGTTTCATCATAAGCATCATTAATTTGCTTTCAAATTAGCACAATCGCCCCAATTGCGCCACAACCAATTCTTATAAATCCTGCATTTTTATCTCAATCTCACAATCATCATTGTAACATCAAGGGTTATGTTGCAGTCTCATTTGTACCACAACTAACTCCTTTGCGGCATATATTATAACCCAACTAGTGAAATGATCGCTATTATCGCCATATCTACGCCACAATCTGATTTGCACATTACTCATCTTTGTTGAGGCTGGCACAATAACTTTCCACATCACAACAACCCCTTTTATGATATAAGTTGTATTTATTTTTATTTTGTATTTTAATTTCAATTTAGTTTTGTTCATTGAGCCTATCCAAGTCTAATTGACTATTTCTAGATAAAATAAAATGATAATTTTTATCTCCAAAGAAAAGATAAATGTATATATATCTGTCCATTTTTCTTAAATAAATCAACAAAATATGTTTTTAATAGGTTTAAAAGAGCATTCTTTCACATTTTTTTTTTTTAAGAAATGGCCAGAGGTTATCATACGATCCTCCAGCCATTCTTAATGTGCCTAACAATTCGAGTACCACAACTGTGTCAGGGGTATTCGAATGCCAGACCTAAGGGGACTTAACACTGAGGATGCCAACCAACAGGCCGAGGGTTTAAAAGAGCATTCTTTTACTTAATAGTATATTTCTCGAGTAAAATGATAGATGATTAAAAATTACTAGAAGAAAACTCTCTCAAGACAAAATTCTTATAATTATCTGCACATTTAGGCAAAACAAAAAAAAAAGGGCACATGAAAATTAATTAATCAGAATAATTACTAAATTTATTTGAATTAATATAATATAGTTACATATATACAAATAATTCTTATATGTTTACACACCTAATACTTAAAAATGATAGTATTTTTTGTGATATGAAAGATTTGGGTGCTATTATTATAAATAGTAAAGTTTAGGTGTTGGACATGTAAATATATAAAAAGTGGGTGGTAAATATGTAAATGTCCCACCTAAAAAGAAATGGTGCCTAATTTTCCGAAAATAATTGGCCTCTAATTCTCAATTAATTGATCGGTCATTGTCCCGATTGCGTTCCATGGAAAGTAATCGATCAGTAATGCAATTCCAATTTATTTGTCGGCTACCAAAATAGCATCTTTTTAAATATCTTTAAACAATATTTACATTTTGATTTTATATTTTTTTTTGTAAATAACTTTAAATTAGAGTCTAATATAGAGCTCAATTTTGATTGAACCAATGCCTAAGAAGGCTCAAATTTAATTAATTGAATTCCATATCGGTCAATCAAAACGGCTCGTTCTTCACGAATAGCTCCTGTTCAGCTTGTTAAACAGCTCGTGGTCGGCTTGTTTGTTAAGCTTAACAGGCCAAACACGAATAAATTTTTAAGCTCGAAGTATAAACAAATCAAATATTAACAAATATTTGTTTGCTCTTATTCGGCTCGAAAAGAAATAATAAATTAATATAAATATAAATATACTAAATATTATGCGGTTTTACTGGAGTTATTCCGCAATGTAAAACCGCTGAATAATACCGATAACACCAATAACACCGCGGACTAATACCCGTAACACCCATTGTGTTATCAGTGTTATTTATCCATCTGCGGTGTTATTGTTGTTATTCCACGGTGTAATGCCGCGGAATAACACCGATAACACCAATAATATTGATAATGTGGAATAACGAGTGACACTCATTGTGTTATCAATATTATTCTGCCGTTTGTGGTGTTATTTGGTGATATTCTACGGTATTATTAGTGTTATTGCGGTGTAACACCAATAATACCACAAAATATTGAGTATAAAATATTATGTATATTATATAAAGCAAAAAAAATATATATATTTATGTTCGTACACTATTGTTATAAGTTTTTCTAGTTAGAAAATTTATAATAATTATTCATAACAATGAAAAGATGCATATTAAATAGTACAACCTTACCTCATAAAATGAGGGTGAAATCTCTGTGTAGTGTCTTTTCTGCATTCCAATTCACATTCTGAAAACTCGACCCTTTAAAGAACTCTCTCAAAAAAAAAAATAATTTTTTTGATGCAGAGAGTTGTCATGTAGAGCGGTCGTGAATTTTCGGAGCCCACAACGTCAACTCACAAAAAAAAAAAAAGAACTTTGTTGAGTTGGTAAGGAAGAATTAAAGATGATGAAATTTGAACCAAAGGACTAATACTCTTGTTTGGCTTCACCACACAATTGTTATGTATTTACATATCTAACATCCAAAATTTGAAATTTACATTTATAACACTTTGATGTCATGAACCTATGCATGAAAATGTGTATTTCACTATTAAAAAGATAGTGATACAATTATTTTTTATGTGATGATAAAGATTTAGGCAGTTATGCATGTCAATATGAATGTTTAGATGTTAGGTATGTGAATACATAAGAATTGTGTGGTATGTATGTAAATGGCCAAAATAAGAAAAAAGAATTCAGGAGATTTGGTTGGAAGGGGATAGAGATGCGCGATAGAGCAAGTAATGTAGAGATTTCTTGTCTGTTTGGGTAAAATGCATTTTGACAACTTTTTAAAAAAACTACCGTTGAAATCTATTTTGTTGAAATCTATTTTTTTCAACTAGTTCAGGCTAAGTGCAGTGGCAGCTTTCTAGCTGCGGTTTGATTTTTTCAAATAAAAAGTAATAATAATAAAATGTAATAGCTACCCAGCTTTTTGAACATCAGATTATCTTTCAGTTGCTTCACTTTTTAATAAGCTACAGCAGCCCCAAACCAAATTTGATATCAATTGTCAAACTAGGAGATAGAGATGGTGAAAATCATCTACATCTTTGTTCTTGCAACATAAGTGGAAGATAAGTTTACCTTAGAAGTCCCCCAAACACAACAAAGAGAAGACAAAGTTGGCCGAGAGGTAGAAGAGCCAAGAGGAGGAGAGAGAAACTGGAGAGAGAGAGAGAGAGAAGCTGGTTCATCAAAAGTGGTGTTAGGTGAACAAGTTAGTATACCCGAAGTAAATCCAGAAGCAAACAGACATTATAAATTGGCAGCAATAGCAAGCAATCAGCTTGTAATATTAAACAAGTCAGGAATAGTACAAGGAGCTCAAGAGCATCATCTCAATAACTAACGAAGAACCTGGACATTTTCATGCATTATGCGACTACATATGAACCCCTATACAACAATCTGATAGCGACAACGCTGGATGAAAAGAGGCATTTACATACATGCCACCCAGTTCCTACGTATTTACATATTTAACATCCAAACTTCACTTTTTACACTCATGCAACTCTAAATCTTTCTCAAGAATATCACCATTTTAACTTTAAAAAGTGAAGTACACCTTGTCAAGCAAATGTTGAATGAATGTCATCCATTATATAAAAGGCATGATGAAAAGAGTACACCTTGTCAAGCAAATGTTGAATGAGGGTCTGTTTGGGGCAGCTGCAGCTTATCAGCAACACAAGCAATAAATTTTTTTTGATTTGATGAGCACAAAAGTGGAAAAAGGAAGTCAAGAAAGAGTATCAACCCAAATAAGAATTATATATAGGGATTTATATGAAAGATAATTTAAAGGTATGTAGAAACTTCGTAACAATTTCGGTGAGGGTTTTAGGCCTAATTAGAAACACAATAAGCGGAAAAAAAGAAGATAATAAAGATAATCAAGCAAATAATGCAAATAAATATAGGAATTTATATTAAACATATTTTAAAGTTAAAGTTAATTAGCTTGTGGGTTTGGTAGAACACACAAGGAATTTTAGGATTTTAACAAGGAAAGAGGTAGGGCATTAAGAAGAGGTATTTCATTAGGGATTATTTGGAAAGGTGCGGCGGAGCTGATGTAAATCTTTATCCTTTCATGAACCCAAGGATTGTTTGACACTCTTATCAATCAATGTTGTGTAGCAAAAATGGTTCTCCTCTATTTTGCTTACCTACAAGGGTAAAATGGGATGCTTATTCCGGGATTATAAAAGAAGAAAAGCGGTATGGAGATAGATAAGGTCGAGAGGTAAAGAGAGAGACAGAGGTGTAGCAGGAGAGAGACTGGGAGACAAAAAAGAGAAGAGGAAGAACCTAAAGGGGCTAGCTATAACAGGAGAGAAAGGAAGGAAGACATCTTTCATTTCATAAGCAATTTTTGTTTAAATATTGAATGATTTTTAATACAAAGGAGCCTTATTTTTAGAGTGGAAAGGAGGGAGAATAATCTTTAAATGCCCAAGATTGCTTAAGCTTTCCATCAGCTAATGAAATCCAAACATTTAATTAAAATAATGAAATAAAACTACATATATCATATTAATACCTATGAATAGATAATGTCTTCCACTACATGAAATAATGTTTAATCTTGAACCAAACTGCTTGGCAATAGATTGGTTTATTTATATATTGAAACAATGATTTTCTCTTAAAGGAACGAAAGACCTAAACTTCTAGGAAAATGATGAAGAAAAAGAAGTACTGCAGATTTACATTCATTCAAATAAAGCATAATATTTTATAATCTTCAAGGTTTTCTGAAATAACCTATAATAATGACACGATGTGCTAGGGGTGTAAACAAGTTAAATCAAACTCAAGCTGTCCCCAAGTTAAGGTTGGGCATGACTAATTAATCAAAATCAACTCAAATCTACAAGTTTAAGCAGGGTCATGAGCCAATCATCTATGAAAGAAATAAGATTGTACAAATCCAAACTGTGCAATGATAAAAAATAAAAAATTGGAGAAAACTAATGGGAGATAAATTAAGACAAAGGAGAACTAGAAAATTTATTAGCTTGAAATAATACTTAATCCGCCTGAATTTCAATATTTTAAGCATATTATATATTCTTGTAGGAGCTAGCTTCATTACGCTTTACTCATTAGATTATCAAGCTTAGCTTATGAGCATTTGATGAGTCAAAACTAAATAGAATCATGAGTTAACTTGATTGAGTTGGACCGCTCTAAATTGAATTAAGTTGACTAAGTGAATTATAATTTGAGCTAGATTTTCCAAAAGGTTAAAAATATAGCATATCATAAACATCGTCATCATCTTCCTTCACCTTGTCCTAACTATTTAGGGTTGACTTTAAAAATCCTCATTTTATATTTGTTCCAGATGACTGTTGCTTGAAGTGTTAAGCATTTTCTTCGCAAATTATTTTAAATTTCTATCTATATTACATTAGGTGTACCCCTACATTATATTATCAGGTGGCAATAATTTTATTGATTAGCCCAATTGCTGTGTTTTCAAACCTCCTTTGAGCATATCCACAATTTATGTTTAACTGTCCCAATTAGCCCAATCAATAATTTTATTGATTAATAATATATTTAATAGATGTTTACTCCAACAGCTATTTTAATATAATCATATCTAAGTTATCCCTCCTAATTTTGTAACACATCTACCTTAACATCTCCATGTCCATAATGCTCAACTTTGTTATCAAGACATTTTGCGTTAAACTCAAATTCAAATAACACCGTCAGATTAATTGTTGTTTAATTAAATTTATCTTTTCAAGTCCATATAAATATGACACTCAATAGGACCCAATGGAGAAAAATAATTCATTTAGCCAACCCCACTTAGTGGGATAAAGTCTTATCTTTGAAGTCTATAAATTTTTTTTTAAAGTGTAATAAATATTAAGAATTTTTTCATTTAATAACTCAACTTTAACTCTAGAAGTTATACCTCATCTACATTTCATTCTTAGTATAATAGATCTAGGAAACTTAAATCTATCATACTTGAATATCATTTTATATTCTAATAATAATAATAATAATTATTATTATTAATTATATATATTGCATACACCATAATTGTATATCATATACTCAATTGTTGTTCTATAAATTTCAATTCATTTATCTTCTTAACATTCTCTCCAATGTTCCAACTATTCACTTATTTTGCAGTTGTGTGATCACCAAAAAAGCATATATCAATGTATCTCAAATTGAATACTCTTTGTAAGCATATCTATATAATCACGTCAAAAGATGTTGAATCAATGTCAATTATTAATGCAAACCCATTATAATAATAAAAAAAATTGTTACTCCAAAACCATATCAATATTGCTCGCCACTCCATATATATCTTGAATAACTTCAACAAAATTTTGATAAACAGTTTTTGCCCTTAATAGACTTCACATTAATTCATATATATCCGTTCTTAAGATCAAAAAAAAAAAAGTCAAAATCATTTCTCTACCCAATTGTTTTTCATTATTTCCATTAACAAGTAGATCTTCCTACGATAGAACAAAATTGATGCTTAGGCACACAAAAAAAATATAAAGTCTATATCATTATTCTATCTCCAATTTTATCATGAGACATTTACATACATACCACATAATTCTTCTGTATTTACATATCTAACACCTAGAGTTTGATATTTACATTCCTAGAGTTTGATATTCACCTAGAGTTTGATATTTACATTTATAACACATTGGTGTTAAAATTATAAATGAAAAGATGTATTTTACTTCTAAAAAGCTAGTAATAGTGGTATTTTTTATGTGATGCAAAGATTTGAGTGGCATGCAAGAAAATAGGAAATTTTAGGTGTTGGATATAAAAATATAAAAGAATTGTGTGGAGTGTAAGTAAATGCATCTTTCATCATATAAGTGATAAATTTTATATATTTATAATTAGTAAAATCTAAAAGCAGAACACCACTAAAAAAAAGACAAAATGTGTGCCAACTACAACTTACCAAAGCACATTTTTAAAGAAGAAAGTTATGATGAAAATAAGATTAAACCTGATAAATGTACAATAGGAAAGCATGGACTGCAGCCTTAGCCAGTTAAACGGTTGAATATCATCAAGCCTCTATCCATGCAAGCTAAATATATTAGAAAAAAGTCCAGGTCAATCCTCGTCAAAGTACTTCTCTTCTGCATCATGGTTGGCTTCCTTAATCCAATGATCATCGAGCCCCTCATCATTATCAATAGCAGAATAATCCAAATGTTCAGTATCCTCCCCTGCAAGAAACTTTTGATGCATTATGTATGTGAACTGGTCCATTTGTTCCTGCATCTCCTCTGTAGATAAAGCATTATTGGGGAGTTCGGCTAGCTCTTCACCATTAGCATTTGTGTCATCTTCTCGAGCCTACAATTTAAAGAAAATTCCCTAATAGTATTTGATGTGCAATAGTATTAGCAATAGAAGACATTAATGGACAAATTATGGTTCAAGATTGAATTAATGGACTTAGCACATGCGTTTTATGCATTCAAATTCTTAATGCCCGTTTGGCATCAATTTTATTTTTTGTTTAAAAAAAAGTGCTTATTAACTATATTTTTATATGTTATTATTTCAGTTTTTTTTTTTAGAAAAATCAACTCGTTTTTAAAGATACTAAAAAAAATATGTGTTTTGAGTGTTTTAAAAAGCAGTCATTGCAACCAAATATATTTTATTTTAAATTAAAATATAAACAAAAATAAAATAAAAAATGAAAATTTAAAAACAAAAGTGATCCCAAACTTAGACTCAAGATTAAGCAATGAAATAATGCTTTAAAAATGAGAAAATGTATACAATATAGCACAAATTAACAATTTAAATGTTCAAGTTCTATGTAAACACCTTCCTTCTGTGGCAAAATAAAGAATTGAGGATTATCCCAAAAGGAAAAAGATTTAAAGAAAACAAAAAAAAAATGAAGAGGCCCAAGAAAAGAAAAACCAAAGCATAACTTCATAATAAGCAAAAAGAGCACATGAAGGCACTCAATAGCCATCAAGAATTGAATGGAGAAGAATTTTTCATGATAAAAGAACAAATGGTTGAGCCTGGGCAAACAATCACGACAATAATGAGATTTTGCCTTTTTTAAAATTAAGATAGAAAAATAACATAAAAAGCTCGATTTCAATTAGAAAATTCTACAGACAATGACAAGACGTAATAAACAAAGGAAGAAATAGCAAATCAGCTTGGTTTGTTAAATCCTACAATGGGTATTTACACACAGTTACAAAGATAATAAATGAAAATTATACAATCTTAGGGATAGAGACTAATTATAATGAATTTAAAGAAAAAACAGTTGTCAATTACTTCCATGTGTGCCTAGTATATTTTATGCCCCTTTTTGCCTTTCTATTTCAGCTAAGAGGAGAGACTCCCCTTGTTTGTCCATGGATAGGTAACTCATGTTTTTTTTATTTAGCACATAAATCCATGGCGCATACCTCCAATTCCTCAATCCCACCGACCTTAAGTAGTCTCAATACTCCCCCTCAAATTGAATAGTAAAGATCTATCATTCTAAATTTGTCATGTGATTTGTGGCTCCTAAATTTATTATCCAAAATTTAAGAGAATTACTCGAGGCATTAAAGGTACAACAATTAGAATTTGTAATATTTTAAGCTAGAGAGCATGACCCATAAGGTTTTTCTAGATAATTCGAGAAGTTTCTAACCTATCAATTTCTTCTAAGTTAGACCCTTCTAGTTCAATTATTTTCACAACAGCCTTGAATTTTTCTATGAAGTGTTCAATATTTATATTTAATATGCTCCTTATTTTACAGTGATTGCATCATAAATTGCTTTTGACAAAGAAGTTTCCTTCTTTTTTAGGAGATTCAGGATCTTTTTTGCGAAAGCATTGTCCCTCCTCTGCCTTTTAGACCGCCTAACGTAGGAGCTGAAATTGTTATGTTTTTAGTAGGGTGTCATACTTGTAATTAAGTCCACTTTTTTAGTTTTTCGTTTTTGTTGTGGGTTTGCCTTTATAAGTTAGAAAGGAGATGGAGTATGTTGATTGGTGGCAAGAACCTTTCTTGTATCCTTCCGGATTAAGAAGTGATTTCAGTATCTTGGAGTGGTGCCCAGCTGGAGATTAGCCGTCTTTCTATCAGTTTATGCATTTCTTTGGGATTGTTGACCAGGTTTCCTCTTTTATGGATTTTTCGATTGCAACTTTTCTATTTTCTATTGTTTCTGGAATTATCTTGGTATCAAAGCACAGTTCTTGCACATTTCTTCCTTCCATTTAATTCGATTACTCCATAATCAGGAGTTCTTTCCAGGTTTCTTGTTTTTCCTACTCTGGTTTCTCTTTTCGGTGAAACAATTTTCTGCCAAAAGTCAAAAATCTGGTTTGTTGGATTTTCCAGCAGGTTTTGCGGTTTTGCAATTTTCCAACCGGTTCTTGCGGTTTTGCAGTTTTCCAGCAGGTTATGGCCGCATATTCTCTGCTGTCCAGCCCCCGGGCTTTTGCCCAGAATTTGTTGACAAGTGACTGATTTATGTCCAGACTTCCTATTTTTTGGATTTAGATGGCTGCAAGGTCTGTTGCAGTTTTACGGTTCTGTCGAGGATTTTGTTTCCAGTTTTATGTCTTGTTCTTCCCTACGGTGTTTCCTACTTTCTTCCTAGAAGCTGCCTTCGATCGCAAATCATCTGAGTTCTCTACAACCTTCGATCTAATCAGCAGATAAAAGAAAATCAAGATGCCGCCAAGAAGAAACCATATCTGTCCAGCCCGAGATTTTGTTGTGAAAGAATGCAACAAGAAGTTTGTCGTCTACAAACAAGATTAGTACTTCTTGAACAGCGAAAACGTTAGAATGAATCCTAAAATGAGATGATCGGAGAGGAAGAAGATAACCCTTTCCATCAAGAAACCACTAGTGGCAATGAACAACCTCTGGTACATTAAGGCATGAAGATCGGCGTAAACCTCCCTACTTCGAATCAAAATAGACATTCTTGATTTTGATAGAAAATTGGATCCCGACGAATTCATCAATTCGCTACATACAATTGAACAGCTTCAAGAATTCAACGAAGTGTCACAAGAGCATATCATCAAACTAGTGGCAATAAAATTGAAGACCGTCACTTCAGAGAGAAAATTTGAAGAGGATCAACAAAGAGAGGGAAGATCCAAGATCTGTAGTGGGCTAAAATTGAAGAAAGAAATGCAACGAAATTCTTACCCGATCATTACCGACAGGAAGTCTTCATCTGGCAGCATAACCTTCATCAACGAGAGTTATTCGTGGAGGAATATATTGCTGAATTCAAACAGTTGGGGGGGCTGAAGTGCAATCTATCCGAACCAAAGGAGCATAGTATCGCACTTTTTTTTTGCCGGTCTTCGACCATCAATCACTAATGTGGTTTCACTTCAACTGTTCTAGACATTAAAAGACGTGATTAACCTGCAGTGAAGGTTGAAAAGAAGCAAAAATTGGGTAGAAGCACTCCAATATGAATCCCTATTAATGGTTCGGGTGGTTGCAGCAAATCGCACAGGAAAGTGGTTTAAAGGCTGAAAATAGCAGCAGCAAAACTGTTTTCCAGCCACGATGGACTGCTACCACAACGAGGCAAGGAACTACATCTGGTATACGATTCTTCAAATGTCATGCTTTTGGCCACATAGCCTCGAGTTATCCTAAGCGGCACATTATTTCATTGGTGGAGGAGGTTGATCAAGAGGAAAATGACATGGTAGAAAGAAGATGCTAATCCAATGAGAGACCAAATCCTACGAGCAGATGAAGGAGAATTACCGGTGATAAGACGTCTCCTAAGTATCGAACAATCTTCCAATAAAGATTGGTTACAACACAACATCTTTAGAACACGATGCACAATTCAGAACAAGGTTTGTAACCTTATGATTGACGGTGGAAATTGTGAGAACGTGTTACAACAACCATGGTGGAGAAGCTTGGGCTAACTACTCAACCTCATCCCCATCCCTGCTAACTCATGTGGCTCAAGAAAGATGTTGAAATTAAAGTCAATCGGCAATGCATGGTGTCATTTTCTACCAGTCGAAAGCTTCAGGAGCAGGTATTATATGATGTGATTCTTATGGACGTTTGTCACATATTTGCTTGGTTGACCTTAGCAACATGATCATTGTACAATTCATGATGGGTACACTAACACTTATTCCTTTATCAAAAAAGGGATTCAAACCACTTTGGTACCTATTAAGGAGGAGATCCAGGTGGGGACTGAAATGAACACTTTCACTCCATTTCTTTTGAAAGATCTTAAGGAGACAACTATGGGGTACCGTTTGATCATGATTGAGAGTTCTGAACAACATACAACTCCTTTCGAAGTATAAAGATTGATACAACAATTTGAAGATATCTTTCTGGAAGAAATTCCTGCAAGATTTCCTCCTTATAGCATGCTATTGACTTTATGCTTGGTTCGTTCATCCTCAACAAATCTGCATATAGGATGTCTCCAAGAGAGCACGAGAAACTTCAACACCAAGTGATAATTTGATCCACAAAGGTTTGGTGCAATGTAGTGCTAGTCCTTGCGAGGTTTCGGCTCTCTTGGTTCGAATGAAGGATGGAAAATGGTGCATGTGCATTGAAAGTCGGGGTGTAAATAAAATTACTATCAAAGACATGTTTCTCATTCCTCGATTGAATCATTTTTTGATCAACTAAAAGAAGTGTTTATTTTCTCCCAAATAGATCTTCGAAGTGGGTACCACCACATACATTGGACATGAGTGAAAAACAATGTTCAAGAAAAGATATGGGCTTTATGAGCGGATGGTGATGTCTTTCGGGCTTTCTAACGCTCCAAGCATATTTATGTGCCTCACGAATCAAGTTTTTCAACCTTTTATGGGAAGGTTTGTGGTAATTTACTTTGATGATACTTTGATTTATAGCTCTAACAAATCTAAACATTTGCAACATTTACAAAATATTTATGAGGTCCTAGGATCACAATAGCTTTTTGCCAATAAGAAAATGTGTTAATTCCTAGTTGGCCGCATCAATTTCTTGGGATTTGTGACCTCAACAGTAGGAATGGTGGATTCCAACAAAGTTGCAGCCGTGAGGGACTAGCCAGCCCCTAGTTCCTTCGCGGCAGTCCGACAATTCCACGAGTTGGCCTCTTCCTATCGTTGATTCCTTAAGAACTTCAGTACCATCGCTGCCTAGCTAATGGAGTTGTTCAAATCAGTCCATTTTTTGTTGGACCGAGCAAGCCCGACTTAGTTTTGATCGCTTGAAATAGGCCCTATGTACCGCCCCAGTTTTAAAGCTTCCAGATTTTGATCTTTTGTTTGAAATTGAATGTGATGCATCAAACACCGATTTCGGAACCGTTCTTAGTCAACAAGGACATCCCGTAGCATATTTTAGCGAAAAGTTCAACGAATCCAAAAGGAAATATTCCACATATGATAAGGAATTCTCTTCGATCGTAAGGGCCCTCCAACATTAGAGTCATTACCTTTTAGCTAATGAAATTGTCCTCTTTATAGATCACGAAGCCCTTACGTGTCTTCGAAACCAAAGTAAATTGAAAGGAAGACACGCCACATGGAGTGATATGTTTATGCTTTTCAATTTACTCTCAAACATAAATTGGGACTCTCTAATTAAGTAGATGATGCTATAAGTTATCGACAAGCTATTCTATCCATTTTGCAAGCTAGAGTAGTATGGGGAATGTATTTAGAGGATCCTGACTTTCGAGTGGCATGACAGGAATGTCTCGTTGGAAATTATAAAACCTTTCACATCCAAGATGATTTCCTCTTCAAAGAAAATTATTTATGCATTCATACGTGTTCCATTCGAAAAGCCATATTAGCGGAAGAACATGACGGGAGACTAGCCGGTCATTTGGGAGAGATAAGACTTAATCTCTTCTTCAGGACAAATTTTATTGGCCCTATATGCATAGAGATGTGAACCGTCATGTGAAACGATGTCATATTTTCCATTTAGCCAAGACAAGTCCTCAAAATTCAGGTTTATACATCTCTTTACCCGTTCCTGAATTTTCTTGGACGGATATCAGCTTGGATTTTGTGGTGAGTTCACCACGCACTCAATGACATGAGGATTCTATAATGGTGGCGGTGGATCGATTCTCCAAGATGGCTCACTTTGTACCGTGCGAAGGCTCTTTATATGCCTCTCACATTGTTGATTTGTACTTCAAAGAGGTGGTTCGTTTACATGACATTTCTAGTACTGTTACATATGATCGAGATGTTAAGTTTTTAAGCCACTTTTGGAAGAAATTAAGGGCAAATTGGGAACCAAACTTCAATATAGTTCCACTTCCCACCTACAAACAGATGTATAAATAGAAACTATAAATAGAAGTCTTGGAATCCTAATTCGTTGCTATGTGGGGAAAAAACTTGCACAATGGGATCTTTTTCTATCTCAAGTGGAGTTTGCCTATAATTGGTCATGCCGTCAAACTTCCAAATTAAGTCCTTTTGAGGTGGTTTATGAGATAAATCTTATATCTCCACTTGATCTTACTTTAGATTTTCCCATTCAGGCGGTGGCACCAGACATTGAGATTCGTTTACAAGAAATCCAAAAGCTACATAAATTGGTGCGTGAGAATATCATTAAACAAAATGAATCGACGACAAGAAAACAAGAGTAGAGGGCGGTTGCCTTTAAAGAAGGAGACAAATTGTGGATTTGACTAAGGAATGAGCGTTTTCCTCCTGGAAGACATGGGAAGCTCAAGGCCAAAGCTGACGGGCCTTTCAATGAAGGGTATTAATCACAACGCTTATCAAATTGATCTCCCCAAAAATTATAGTATTTCTACCACATTAAATGTTGTCGACTTGACCCCACATCACGAAACCGATTCTGAAATTTCATCTCATGAAGAATCTCAAAAACTCAGGGAGAATGACGTAGGAGTTGAAATTGTTATGTTTTTATTAGGGTGACATACTTGTAATTAAGTCTTCTTCCTTAATTTTTTGTTTTTGTTGTGGGCTTGCCTATATAATGTTGACTTGTATGTTAGAAAGGAGATACAAATTATTTTGATTGGTGGAAAGAACCTTTCTTGTATTATTCCGGGTTTAATAAGTGATTTCAGTATCCTGGAGTGACACCCAAGTGGTGATTAGCCATTTTTCTTTCAGTTTATGCATTTTATTTTCCCTCTTTGGGATTGTTGTTCAGGTTTCTTCTTTTCTGAATTTTCGATTGCAAATTTTTTGTTTCTATTTTTCTAGTATCACCACCACCACAATTCCTACCACAGCTTTGTAAGAAATTGATTTCTCCATCATAGCTTTACAACCACGTTTTTAAAAAGTTGCAATCACCGCAATCAGACCTCAATCACAATAAATCTCTTTATCTTGAATTTCAATTACAATCATGGCAGATATTTTAAAATTGGGTATCAAGCTCCCACTTTGATTCACATGAACTAGCATATCTCATTTACGAATGATTGGTGAGATTTCAAAATGAATTTGGTTGAATTTAATCACAAGTATGTAAAAAAATCAAAAATTCCTTCTCTTTCTCTACTTGAGATTTGAAAGTGAATTTGGTCAAATTTAATCATGAGTCATGTAAGAAATTCTAAAAATTCTTTTCTTTCTATGATTAGATTGCTTCAAATCATATAAGAGGACCTAAGAAGCTTCTAGAAAAAGTCCCAAGAAAACTTCCAAAATTATTCAAGAGAAACTTTTTAAAGAACCTAGGATATACCAAAAGACAAACTTTCTAAGAGACTTGGAGAAGCTTCTTGAAAATAAGCACAAAATTCAAAAAGTCATATTCATATTTAAAGTAGTTGAAAATGCACAATTATCCTTCAAATATATGAAATAAGGAAAGAAGAAGTGGTTGCAAAAAATAAGAGATCAAATAAAATAATCCATTTTATTCTCCCTTGGTTAGCAACTTAATAAGCGGTTTTGTTAAAATTTTATCTATTCCTAGATAAGTTTGCGTATTGCAATATTCTTTAGCTTGAATGTAAAAATTATCTTATATATATTAATGGATCCAATGCATCCATAAATAGAACTCTACATTAGCAGCTGATCTCTCTCCCTCTCTTCTCCTTACCATTATTGTGCCTCTCTTTTTACTAGAGTGCTAAAAGGCAACGGAAATGGGACTATTCAATGAGTATCAAAGAGAGAAGAAAAGCCAAATTGAGGATAGGAAACCAGAATAAAAAAAAGAACACAAGGAAATGCTTGCACAGTTTGTCAGATTGAAGATCTCTAAAAACGAATAACAATTCCTTCTCTTCGGTGAGTTCTAATCAGACCATCCCTCTCTTATTTGGCTCTGGGCTGCACCTATATTGTTTTGGGGAATTTTTGCATAATATATGAGGCTGTAATTGATATCAAGAAGACGATCATCTCTTCTATTATCTCATTGACAAACTCTATGTAGTTTGCTTTTTGTTTTCAGCCAATTGCAATAAAATGTTGATTATGTCTGTCACAACTTAACCATATAAACAACCATAAAGCATCCATTGTGTTGTCATTTATTGAGAAGGTTGCCTATTTATAAATCTCAATATATGTGGACCATAAATTGATAATGGAGGTAGTTCCAGGCTTGAAAATTCTCTCCATTGTGGTTAAAACTAGATATGCAATATGTAACTTTGCTGAGATTGAAGAGTGAACAAAAACAAAGAGGAACCTTCGAGCTAGAGTTTGAGGTTTCAGCCAATAAAGCTGCTAAATTAGAGAAGGCTAAACCCAATCTTCTTAAGCAGATAGTTATACAAGAGGATATTCCCACCAATAACTGTTATAAAGATACAACGTTTCCAAAGGAAGATGACTTGGCTGATTAGATTAATGGAGCAAAGGATGAGGATGATCCTGCCTAATTAAAGAATCCATCCCATATTAAGGAGGATGCCAAGTTGGAGGTACCTTCTTTTGATTGCATCATTGATGCTGGAAAAAATAAATAATTGGATGGATAAAATGAAGACATACTTTTCTTTCAACAAATATAGCCTTACATAAGAGATTATACTTACATACCTCAAAATATCCTCGTACGAAGTGATGCGATGAATCTATGAATCCAAGAATAATGATTCGTCTAGAATAAAAAGTTCACAGCGTAAAAAGATTACTAAAGGTTCAATTTTATCTGATCTTCCATGAAGATGATAAGTTGATCCCTTGATTAACTAAGGTAGGGATCTAAGACATCGGTACAAGATTGAAATATGGAGTTTCATGGACAGGCTTTTCATTGGATATCTATTTGTAAGAAAGATCAGTATTAATGAAGTATGTTATTGGTTTGAATGTAGAGATCCGGAAATGGATAAAAATTTTCTTGATTTCAACTAAATAAGAGTCAGCTAAAGTTTTGTTAGAGAATTAGGTGATCTCCAAGCAATACAATTTGATGGGGATGGTCAAGTTAGCCGTCATTTCCTCCTGGAGGCACCTTTGTCATCCTATTATTTTTTTTCTGGAAAACAAAGAGCATATAAACTATAGTGAACTGGAATTCAAGCCATTAAACTGTAACCTACTTTACCTTCGATGAGCTGGAAGGTAATTCCATCTCATTCCTTTCCTCCTCACTGGCATCATCATCTTCGCTCGCCTCCTCCCCAGCATCAGCACCTCCAACCCAATCCTTCCTCGCCACCCCCAACCTCTGCTGCTCATCTCTGATCTTCTTCACAAGCATCGCTTCCTCGCACCGGCGCATAAGCGTCTCGGACCACTTCTCCCCCGGCCGTGACAAGACCCTCACAACCGGATCCTGGAACCTACCTACATATTCGTGATGGAGGTAGGGCTCCCTCTCTCTCATCGAATCCTCAGAAAAATACTCTCCCCCGCGAATTAATCGTTCCATGTATGCCCGCCGGCGGTTTCTGACAGTCGCCGACTTCGCCCGCGAGTCCGCCTCCGTTGGTACCAAGCTCCGCCGAAGACGATCAACATACCATCCAACCTCGTATTCTGAACGCAACACGTCGAAAGCGCTGAGCTCGTTGTAGTTGAGCACGGTGCCGTAGCGCTCGAGGAAGATGGGCGCGTCGCGGGATATGAGATCAAGGAGTGCGGCCTTGCGCTGGGAGGCGTCGGGTTGTTGGCTGCGTATGCCGCCGGGAAAATAGAGGCCATCAATGGCTGCCAGCCGCCCGGCGATGCCCTCCATGGCTGATCTCTCCATCACGAGCAGAGGAGCAGGGTCTCTTTGCTGGAAGTAGGATCTAACGTTAGGTTAATAGTCTGGAACTCGATAAGCCTAATCAGTACTGTTATTTATAATAAGTGATTTTTCATAGGCGGCATCTCAGATATATTATTTAATATATTCGACATTTAAATATCACAATTTACAATATAAGCCTTCAAATAGCTACATATCATAAACATGTGTATTGGTGGTTTCATTCTAACGGACACTTGAAAGTCGGTGATGGGAGCGATTATTGTGTGCGGAGTGCACGATTATGATCGGAGAGCGATTATGATCGGAGAGTGCGCGCAATAATTAGACCAGTGATGGACACTTGAAACCTACCGACTGAGAAGACAAAGATATTCATTGTGTCTCTTTGCCCCTTCAGTTTTACGATTATGATCGGAGAGTGAGCGCAATAATTAGACCAGTGATGGACAATTGAAACCTACCGACTGAGAAGACGAAGATATTCATTGTGTCTCTTTGCCCCTTCAGTTTTGAAGAACCCTCTTCGTGAGAGATTCCCCACCTTATGTCGCACAAAAGGAGGTTTGGGTTTTGTTGTTTCACGCGATAAGGCGTTGATACTCCTCTCCATCACTCGCCTACTCTAGTTTTCCACGAGGCCATTAGGATGAGCCAGTTTCGTTGTCAAAATTGAGCGTGCGTCACTTCATGCATGCATTCGCATTCACATGGCATGTTTGACATTAATTTTAAAATTGCAGCAAAAAATTTTTATTTTTGCATGCGTTGTCGACCGATCACCTTAGTTGACACAATCGCTCATTGTTGTCAACTTGACCGATCAATCGCCACAGATCCAATCAGTTCGACAGACTCTCTTTTGTCGATCGACATCTTACGCCGACCCGATTGACCACATTTGTAGGCTCGGCTAATCGACTACCACCGATTTGATTGGTTTGACCGACTTTCCTTTGTCAATTGGACGCCCACGCCGGTATGATCGTTTGCCTTCATCGGCTAAACCAATCGACCACCACTAGTTCAATCAGTTTGACTAACTCTCCTTAGTCGGTCGACTGCCTACACTGCCCCGATTCATCACTCTCGTTAGCTCGATCAATCGACTGTCGTTGATCCGATCGATTCTAGCGACCTCTTCCTTCGTCGATCGTCCGCCCTCACCGGCTCGATCCACCACCCTCATCGATTTGATCGACCACCTTTGTCAGCTTGATCGATCGTTCTCCATCGATCTAATTAGGCTGAGACCCTTTTTCATCAATAGGTCGCCCTAATCGACCAGATCGACCACCCTTGGCAGCTCGATCAATCGACTGTCGCCGACCAGATCTAATCAATCGACTCCATCTAATTGTTGCATTATTGCGTGATTGTCTCATTCTGCTTGCATGAACACATTCACACCACGCACCCCGTGTTGTACATGTGAGCATATTACCTCATGTGCTCGTGGACGCGTTTATGCCCCTCTTTGGCACGACTTTTTGTACTTATCTCGTAACATCTCTATGTCATGGTGCACCACATCTTGTATGTTTGCACTTATACTTGTGAACTCTTGCATGTTAGTCTTGTATGACAACACACGTGTTCATTGCTTGTGTGTTTGAGTCTGTTTGAGTCACTGTTCTGACACACACATCACGAATGTCCATGTGTCTACGTCGGGGTCCCGGGGATGGCTTGGACACCAAGCCTACCCATCGTGTGATTCTCCCTTAATGAGAATTACATCACTTCACCTCCAATAGCACCACCTCAGACTGTTGCAGGTACTTTCTGAGTTACTGCTCCTCGCACACTCGCCCTCAACAATTACGTATCTTTCTCGAGTCATTGCTCCAACACAATCATTCTGGAAACTGGTGTGCCCTCTTCACGAATGGCTTGCACATCAAGCCCATTCGGCGCATGTTTCTTTTTAGCAAGAAATACACCACCTCATTTGCATTGTGTGTCTTGCATGAACATCACTGCATTGTCGGTACATTTGTCATTATCATGTCGTCGTATACTTTTGACTTATGTTTGTTATCTAATAATAACACACTAAACTGTCATAATACACAGGATCACGTTGCATCTGCAAAAAATATTTTGTATTTTAGAAATAAGAAATCAAAGTGATGCATGCTAGAAAATTCGTGGCGGTAGAGTAATGGATTATCGTCTTAGCGTTGCACGAGAATTCAGCACACACTCAGATAAAAATGAATCGAGTTGTGATCACACTAGAAGTTTTTACGTGAAAAACCCATAAAAGGGAAAAATCACGGGGTCTGGCCCAGTTGAAAAAATCCACTATAAGTTGATGATTACAGATGCCCCTTGTCCCACAGGCGGGAAAATGTTACTAGTTTTCCACGTTACAACGTCGACTGATGACGTCTAATAAGTGGTGGTTGACATAGGTCAGCGGTGGCTAACAACAGTTGATGACGGTCGGCAGTAGTTGACAGAGATCAGCGGTGATCGGTGGCGTTCAACGGTGGTCGGCGGTGGTCGACAGAGGTCGGCGATCGTTGTTGACGGTAAGTGATGGTCGACGGCGATCGACGATGGCAAGGATGATCTTAGACTTGAGCTCATTCTCAAAACCTCAAGTTCTCTCTTAAGCCTCCTCTCTTTCATGTGAGGGTGTCGGCACTATTTTTGGTGTGGAGTTTGTCCGTAAGAAGCTGTCGGTCATCGGAATTGAAAATCCGTTGCCCACTTCGGAAGGACGTTAAAAAAAATTTAGTTTTGAAAAAGATGAAGTCAAACTGACCCCATAATTTTCATAGTTTAAATGGAAGAGCACTTTTACCTCAAATTCTGTATTTATCCCAAAGGATGAATACAAGAATTGAGGGTGAGGCTCGATCAAATAAACTAGAGAAAGTCATGACATCCGTTTGGTCTGCGAAACCAATATATTGGCCGACAAATTCCCCTATTTAATATAAGGAATTAAATAGGGTTTATATTATGCTGGGTTCGGGAAAAGCTTCCTATAAGGGCAAGCCCCTATAGTTAATTACATCTCTATAGTTAATTACATCTTAGATAACTGAAATTACCTAAGAATACTCTCGATAAAAATCAAGAAAAATTA